TTTGTGGCAGAATTTGCATTGAGTTGCACATAAGTCCAATCTAATCAATGAATATGGATGGTTACCACCATGAAAGCTAAGATACAGTCGAAAGTGAGGCCCACAGGGCGACGAATTAATCTAATAACACCTCATAAGAAATGAACGACTTAATCATTAATTATTCGAGAATTCATTCTATCGAACAAGTTCTTTTCACCAAGGGACATTGAAGAATTCATCACACTTTACTAAGGTAAAAGTCATTCGACAAAAAAAAATATAATATTCAAAACTAATTAACTTAACAAAAGAAAAATGGATCTTTTCATTTTAATTTCCAAAAAAAGTCAATACATTCAAGACATCCAATATAACTCAAATGCAAAAGTCGTCCTAAGAATCACAGTAGTGAGAGTACCCACTATCTGAATCCCCAACAGTGGGATGTTTAAATCTTCATCATCAGGTCTCTCCTCGCATTTCAAATATTTGTAGGCTTGATCGTAAAATAAGCTCAAGTTACATCATGCATAGTTGATCTTGCATCGATCAACCAGAATATTAAGCAGAAAATAATACTTTCTCTTGAAATTTACTCATAATGTCTTGTGCAAGACAAGACCTAGGAACTCAACAAATTCAGGCACTTGGAAGTTCAAGTTTATCCGCCTTCAACTTTTTTAGCAATTTCTCTAGCTCAACAATTCAAAATTGAGTCAAATACAAAAGACTGGTCAAAAATATCTCTTGCCTAGCTTCGACTCAGCATAGAAAGATTCCATGGTGCCTACTTTATTCAATAACTCAACAATTCTATGGTCAACGAAGGATTGGACAACCGCCATCTTTTACTCATTTCTTATTTGGTACAAGTTCCCTTGTTATCCAAAGCCCAATGCCACAAGGGGCCTGATTCTCTTTTGCAAGTCACTCCAAACTGCTCCCTAGCTCGCCATTTGTCTAGAAAACCACTTTGTGCGAATTGGCAAAGAAGAATGTGCTCTGCAACAAAGAGACAAATCTCTGCATAATCAACATGTGGAGGTTTTCCAAAGACATCTTTTCTAAATGGCCATGAAGACGATGGAGATCATCAACTCCCAAATGTAACTTATTCTTCGACAATAGTGGGTCAACATCAGCATCTATAAGTACTTACCCTATCGCATCCTAACTGATTGCCGATTTGCCTTCATTTTTATAAATCATCTCAAAGAATGGGGAATCATGGAAGAAACTAACCCTGTTTTACCCTTACCAACTTTAGTAAATCTCCTCAATTCCACGAAAGTGGGATAACACTAGTTGAGGGTACCAAAGTAGCCTTCATTGCAACCAGAGTTGCTAATGAAGTCGGCGCTACACCATGGCTACGACTGTTGGCAAGAATGCGGCTTGATGAACTCAATTACCTCCTTGTCATCACTTTTGATAAATCTCCACTTCCTTTAGATCAACGAAACATCAAGACTCTCCTCCGACACACCTTCCAAAACTCGTTTAATTCACAGTATGTCCAACCTAATGTAGGCCACTCTGGATTGTCTTCTGATATCTTACAAATTATAAAAATGAAAAAGAAGCTTCAGGAAACAGCTCAGCAAAATAACATAAGTACACATAATATTATCATTTCCATTCACTAGGCAATTTGCTTGTAAGCAATAGATTAACAGCAAGCGCCGCCAAAATGGTTGCAAAAGAAGTATATTGTACACAGTCCAGCTCCCCTCCAAAAAGTTTAGGTACAACTCAATATCCTCTTCAAACAATTGCGAAGACCTCAACTTAAAAGACGAGCTAGGGCAAAACTGAAAGGCCATCCACTAACCAACTTCATGAAAAAGAATTTCTTTTTTCAATCCCTGACCTTATTTTACTAACACTTCATCTTTATATACTTCAAGAACTTACTCATCTCAATATCTCTTTACAATGAACATAAATTTGAAAAGGTCCAAACTCTACCTTACCCATTGTTCTTGTATGTAGACAATGAAAGTAATTATACTCTCCCATGAGTTAGTCACCAACCGTGCAAGAACCCAACTGTAATAACACATAGTCGCCTCTACGTTCAAGAAGAATGCTATATGTACTCCACATCAAAACTAGTTCATTTAGAAGCATAATTTGTCTTCCTTTATTGCGTTTGGATATTCGCTAAGCTTCAAAGCTCAAACTATAAAATCCTTGTTGACCTCGCATTCTAGGACCACTGACTGCAAGTTGTATTTGAAAACCAATGAGCTTTAACCCTAGACTGCAGCCAAGTTGTTTGCATAGTTAAGGAAACCTCGAGATATTTTATAAACAAAGGGGAGAAGAACTCTCAAGCATTGAAGGACTCAAAAGGTTTAAACAAAAGAACCACTGACTATTTATAAAGGAAATCGCAGAAACTCAAAGCGCATTGCAATCATTTTATAGCCATCTCCCCATCATGTTGATAATAAAATCGTAGGCAAATAAATTATAGCCAAATGATTATAAAATTTTGAAATGACAATAACGTCACATCACAGACGCAATAAGTAGTAGATTAAATAATAGCGCAATTACAAGTATCAAGCGTGGCAAAAACTAGTTGCTAGTACCTTATCAAACTTGGCACCCAAATAGGTAGTCATCCCTCCTAACATGGCTTACACAAAGGGCCGAAAAAGCGCTTCTTTAGCAAATAAGCCCCTACAAGTAAGGTGTTGTTCAACACCCCTAAAGAACAAATCCACCTGCAAAGAATTCATGTTACTCAAACATCCAGATCTTGTCTCTAATATTACTCAACTCGATCTTTGATGTAATTGGTGACTTCAATAGAGACGACTTCTAAATGACTAGCTAGTCTCATAAATTTCTCCAGCAAATTTTTAAAGTGAATCTTCTCAGACCCACCAATGAATTGAATCTAGGCAAAATTTTTGGTCTTCTCTTATTTCTCAGTAAGGAATTCATACAACATTTTCATATTGACCTGAAAGCCATGACCCGATATCAACGTGTTTTCTAGGCTCGAAGGATTTGAAGTCAATAACTCAACAAACTTTTTCAATTCAATTTTCTTTTCCAAGCCTACTTTCACCAATATAACCCTAGAATGAGCCAATGAGCAACTATTTTATTGTCGTAACAAGAATATCCCTAAGGGCCTCTTTTGAGGCTGCCATCCAAGTCAAACTTGACAAAGAGAAGCTACCACTAGACTTATGCAATGGGAGGGACTTTTCAAGATTAGTGGCAGCAAAAACTTGAACTTCAATTCTCTTCCTTCTCTCATCAACTTCATGCTTTACCTTCTTTAGGGTAAGTGAGGAAGTCTCCAAGGCGTCTCTTCAGCTCTCTCTATCGTTGTTCATTTGCACTCGCATTTAAGTGATATCCCTCACTGGGAATTAGGGAAGGCGATCCATGGCTCCAGAAAGAAAAAGGAATATGAGGCTAACGCTAAGAATTACAAAGAAATCAAGCAAAGAATAGAGATGCATTTCTAGATTTTCTTTTCAGAAAAAGTTAGATAAAAAAGTTAAATCAAAACGATTATGGTTGGCTTTATAAAACTACATATTTTTTACTCATTCTTCAAAGATACAAAAGAATCAGGGAATTAAATGTACACCCAAATATCTCAAGATTGGTTCAAGCTAAAGCAAGCAATTCAAGTTTTTGACAAACTTATCTGGTTCACAATAAATCAATAAGAATATGCATACACTCAACAAGCTGCTTCTGCAATTAAGAAGATATTTTATTATCTTGTATAGATTACCCTACAACACCCAAAACCTTATAAATGTAGAATCAAAAGGCCATTTGAGAATTTCTCCTCGAGATGCATAGTTATCTTATATATATTATGCTAGTAATAAATTTGATGTCCTCTCTTCTCTAGGATCTCGGGTTCCCCTAAGCCCCATCCCTCTCTATCTATCTCCCCTTCCCTGGATGGTCTGATAAAACCTCACGTGGCCCTGTAAATATGGCTCTAGCATCCCATTCAGGAAAATTTGAACACAACACATTGACTGCTACTCCAAATGGCCATGTTACATTTGCATTTGTACAAGATTGAATTTACACCTAAGAAATGTTAGTTGATATTCCACAATAATCTTGGATCAGGCAAGCGCTCATACAATTCTTACAAGTTTTTTGGCAATTCATCAAATATTAAGATGGTGCATCATGGCCTTAAGCTAGTAAAAGCATTTACCTGGCTCATTCTTTATCGCATTGAAAAAAAAGGGGTTCCATTTAGATCAATGACATTTAAGAAAAGTATGATTATCCTTGAAGTAGGATAATTACATGATCAAAATAAAATTAGAAATAATGAAGTATGACTACCAGGAGCCTCTAGGTGTAAACATATCAGTATATTCACGGTTTTGCATTCAATTGTGGTTCATGTATCTTCATTTATTTAGCTAATCAAAATTCAAATAAGACCACAAAATTATGAAGATTGATAAATTATTAAAGAAGCATTAGAATATTTTGTTTATGAATCTCATTAATTTTCCTACAATAAACTCAATAGAAAATAATAATCATTTAACATGCTTGACAAAACCGTGTTTCTATTTTTTATGCTTTATGTGGGACATATTAACAATGGCATGAGTGGGCTAGAAGTTTACATCAAACAAATTGTTAACCACCTTGCTTTCCTTCTACTTGCCTATTCTCTAAGGTTCGGAAATTTAGCGTTCAAAAGTTAAAAAAAATAACATGCATGATTTCATGAATGAATCAAACAATTAGCATTAAAAATTAAAAAATACATATATTCCTCTATTTATTTAGAATAAAATTCCACATCTTTAAAAATAAATGCCTTCAAAGGCCAAAAAAAAAAACACGGATCCCACAGAAACACGACAAAACAAAATCAATGAAGTCCAAACCAATCAACAAATTATCGGAAATGAATACAAAAACCAGCCATAAACAAAGACCACACGGCAAGAAATCCTAGGATTCAAAGAGAGAAAGAGAATGAAACGGGCACAAGGGCTCACAATTTTTTGGCCTGCTCTAGGGATCGTGCATGGCCGAAATGGAAGAGATCGTATATACCATCGGCATAAACCCGCACGGGTCTATCGCTCTCAACCTTCTCCTCCTCGGACTTCGGAAGCTCCATTCGCCGATCTGAACAAGTCTTCTCCTTCGAGAAGCCTTCTCTTTGCTAGGCTTTGAAGACACCCCAAGGGTTTCAATTTTTTTGCAGTCGAAGCAGTGAAGTCGGTCAATATTTTATATAGGGGTTCGTTTTTTTCTTTTAAATTTGTTTCCTTTTATTTTGTCTTATTACAGCTCACATAATGGCTCCAAAATATGATTAAAAGAGAACAAAAATAAATAAATGCACATTTAAGATATCTTTAAAAATTTCTAAAATAATTTTTAAATCATTATATGAAATAGATTTTTTTTTCGGAAATTATTATAATATTATTATTTTAATGGCTAATCGGCTCTAATAAACGTCAGTTTGGTATTGTTTTTCTGCTCCTTTTATTTCCATATATAATATTCATATTCTTATTTAGCTCTATTATATTGTTACATTTTTTTATTATTTTTTTAAAAAATTATTGTCTAAAATAAATTTTTAATCGGAATAATTAAGTAATTTTTCACACAATAATTTTACAATCAACTTTATAAATAAAATCATCTCCAAAAAATTTTAAAGGTAACTTTGAAAGGTATTTATAAAGTTGTAAAACCTCTTAAGTAAAAAAGCTGAACTTTTAAACATTGAGGTGCCTTTTAGTATAATGGTTGAAATTTCATTTAAGAAACTCTGCAATTAAGCCAGTTCATTCTAGAATAATTATGAGATGGGTGAGTTGCTGGGATGTTACACCAACTAGACAAAATCGTAAAGATCTTAGATCAAAACGGACAATATCTCGATAGTTAAAAATTTGGGATATTACATAATTTATTATAGGAAAAGTTACATTTTTAAAAGCTTATGTAAAAAATAACTTCTTGCATATAAATTTTTTGAAATTAATAAGAAAATAATCGTTTAATAAAATTGTGATTGCAGTCTAAAAAGTAAAATAATGACCCTTAAATATTATTAAATAAATTTAAAGAAAAAATAGCAAATAAAAGTGTAATAACGATTCATAAAGTAAAGTTAGCAAAAAAAAAGAAAGAAAGAAAAAAAGCGTAGCCCATAGGTATCTTAAATGTTGTTGTACAGAAATGTTTAGAAAGATGAGGGAGATTTAAAAGTTAGCTTTGTGGATACCAATCTCTTCAGTTGCAAAGCAATGGACAATTTGGTAGGTGAGTGGTTTAGGGAAAATTTTTTACTTGGCCTTGGACAAGTACTCTATAGCAATTTGTTGATAGTAAACCCCTAATTATCATCTTATTCAAAAAGGCAAAATCACACCTAAAACACATAAACTATCTCACATTCACTATACTTTTGTTATCGTACGTGTGCTCAATAATAAATGCTTATTTATTAATATTTAGGTTTCATTTGGGATAGCTTTCTTATTGTTTCTTAAAACGGCTTTCTAGTACAAAAATTAAAAATTTTGTACTAAAAAGTCGCTTCAAAAAATAGCAAGAAAGCCGTCTCAAATAAAGCCTTAATCATAATTATTTAAGGAATCATCGTTATAGTTTTTCAATTTTTGCATCAAATCTTCATTGCATGTAGGTTTAATCATTTTTAAGGAAAAAAATTTGATGTAGATTGTATGCTAGAACTTGATTCCAATGATATTAACACCCACTTCTTGAATAGAAGAACCTCCTTTGATGACCTTTCTCCTAAAATCAAGAATAGCTTCACAAAGGTGGCACATAAGAGTGGGCATGGGAGAAAAAAATATTGATTATCAAAGCTAGTTAATTGATTAAGATTATACTTATCTTTGGTTGTACATTAAAATCTATGTTTAATTGAGCTAGGTTATCTCCTTAAATGGATGACCTATTGATATTATATTTTATACTTTATATTTTGTTATTATTTATTTCGCTTGATGCAGCTCTCCTCTTCTGGCTCCGCTAGGGTTTTTCTTGCCCCGCTAGGGCTCCCCCTCGGTGGCGTCGATGCTCTCGATGGTGTTCCAGGGAAGTTTCCTCTTATTCTTCTGGTGGTTTTCTCTGGCTTTGGTTTTGTTTTGTTTTTTTTTTTTTTCTTTGCCCATCTCCGGTTCTTGCCCTGAATGGTGTTGAATTGCCTGAGCGACCCGGGTTTTTAGAGGGTCAGGTTTAATCGAGTTCGTTTTTTGAAGCGCTCTTTGGATCTTCCTCTGATGTAAATTTTCTTGAACTTAAGACGTCCTCCTTTCGTGGTTTGCCTTCTCTGTGGATTTTGGAGCAGGAAATCCAAGCTTTGGTTATCCCCTCGAAGCTTCCCTCTCTTGAATCCATTCAGCGATTCTTCTTCAATCTTAAGCTTAATGACAAAGTGTCTGTCACTCTGCTTGCTCTGTCACATATCTTGATCAAACTGGCTAATGATTTTGATTATTGTGAGATTTTTTGTCATAGATCTTGCATAGTGTATAATTGTTACATTAAACTTACCAAGTGGTCTCCTTTATTTGACGTTGGTGTTGAATCTCTGATGATCCCAATTTGGGTTTCTTTTTCACAGCTTCTTCCTCATCTCTATTCCCCCCGTATCCTTCACGATTTCGATTCAATTTTTTGCAGACCTTTGAAGATTGACACTGCCACTTTTGTTGGCTCTAGTCCTTCTGTTTTTCGTGTGCTGGTGGAGATTAATATCACTAAATCATACCTGGACAAGGTTTGGTTAGGTCCTGAAAAGCTGGGCTATATGCAGCAAGTTTTTATGGAAGAATTTGTCCCCTTTTTTGCATCTTGTAATTGTATCGGACATGTGGTGGATAATTGCCGTCCTCACCATTCTTCTACTCTGTCTAATGTTATCCTTGACGTTTCTAAACCTATTTTGAATCCCTTTACTCCCCCTTCTTTGTCCCATCTTATATCTAATCTCGATGGGGTGGAGAATGCTGATGATGCAATGGCAAGGACTTTGGAGTTGAGTCTAGTTAATGTTGTAGTTGGGAGTGTTGCTGAGTTTTTGGGGGATAATAATATCCTTATTAATTCTAATTTAGCTCCTATTTTTTCTGTTGTGGTTAAGAAGGAACATGCTTCTTCGGTTCCACCTTTGAACACTATTTGTGTTGGTGAGGAAGGAAATTTGATCAAAAAAATTATGGTTTTAACCTTAAAGCTAGCCTTTCGTGTGCGGATGTTGTGGCCGATTCGGGTGATTTTTCTGTGGATGTGGTTTCTAAGGATGGTGAGCTTGTTGGTTTACCTGATTTGCCAATCCATGCGTTGGCTATTTGTGATGATTCTTCTCCTTTGAAGTCTGTGGCCTGGGATGCTGCTAATCTGTCTGTTAATTTGGTTTCGAATTTACCTTGTAATGTTGAGTTTGAACTATCTCCTATTGCTAATGCCTTGGAGGGAAATGCCGAGTTTGTTAATATTCCTATCTCAGTTATGTCTAACATTGAATTGAAAGCTCATGTATATGGTCCGGACTTTGAATAACTCTATCTTGGTTCAATCTGATTGGCTGGATTTGGATGAGTCCCTCTCCACGCCTTGTGTGGGGGAGGAAGAGGATTTTGGTGACCATGCTAATTATGATATGTATATTTTCATTATGGGTATGTTGTTGACCAAGCTGTGCTCAATGGAGGTGGCCGACAAAAGACGTAAATGTAAATCTAAAAAAAAAAGTCTTTGGATTTATCTCTTGCTTTTGTTGTAGTGGGCTTTGTTGGCATATTGGATGATGATGAGGCGCTCCCTGCTTTTCCCCTTGCTGGCCCGGGCTTGTTGGCAACCTTGGTGGTTTGCCATTTTTGCTTGGTGGTTGCTTGTATAGGTTCTAGGCTGTTTTGAGTGGCTGTCATCAAAGGATGGTCCGTGTCTGACTGCGAGGTGGTTGTATGGAGCTATCATTCCTGAGTACTCCGCTTTTGTTTCCCTTTTCTACAACTTTGTGTATCAGCTTTATTGAATCTGCTTTCATGTCCTGTCTTTGATGTATTGTGGATTTGATATTGTTGGGTCAGTGTTGTATGTCGGGTCTCTTTTGGAATAAAATTTGGTTTATAAAAAAAAAAAAAAGAATATTTTGTTACTATTGTCTTTGAAACTTTACTCATTAATGACATTGTTGTTATATGAATTAACTTATTTGATATTCAATAAAAATAAAATAAATATTTTTAAAATTTAAAATAAATTTTATTTCATATAAAAATATAAATAAATAAATAAAATAAAATAAAAAAATATCTCTAACAGGTATTTGGTTTGTCGTACGGCCAACTCAGGATTCAAAGATGTTTGCGTCTCTTAGATTTGGATTGAAATAAGTAATGTTGAAAAAAGATATGGCAATGCATCACTAATATCTCAATAGATAGAATTTGTCTACTCTACTCGATTGTTAATGACGCGAACAAAAATAATAATTTAATTATCAGCACATTTTATATAATACATATAATTTGTAGTAATGATCAGCATCAGCAGACTTTTGATCCTTTCAATAGCTTTCAATTCTTGTGCTCTAATCAGCATTATTTACAATTTTCCAAAGCCATCGGACGCAAAGAGTTAGATATACTAATTGTTAGGGTAGACCATTTCACAAGGCATATGGGAGAGCCCACACAAATCAGAATCTCGCTGCAACAATCTTGAAGTGTATATATATATCGCATAACACTTATAAACTTTAAATAACAATAAAAATAGAACTTAACATCATCAAAATTTTACATAGTATTGAGATCCTATTTAAATTTCGTCGTCATGGAGCTCGCATGCTGCTAAGCTTGTCGCCAGATTCGCAGACGCTTGGTCTCATCGCCACTTTCATCACATGCCACCAGTCCCATCGTTCTCCTTCCCAACGAAATCTTGATTTTTAAAATCCCCTTTCTAATGAAATCCTATCAATCGGTTGTGGCTTCGTCTTTGTTGTCAAGCGGTTGCAAGAAGCCTTTTGCCAATTACTCAGTCCGACTGACTTCTTCGTCTTCTTCACTGTTAGCTTTCTCTTCTTTGTTGATTATAGCCTTATAATCTTTGCTTGGTTCTTTTTTTTGACTTGCTTGTATCATCATTTTTATTGAATGGAATAAACATACCATTTGGTTTAAAAATAATAATAATGCATAGATGTTAAATATATAAATGATATAATTTTGAGTGTTATGTATGTAAATCCCCTTATTTTTTACCTGATTATAAGATAAATTACTAAAATAAAGAGCGTTTAATTAGAAATACAATTTAACACAATTTATCTCAGGAGTAAAAATAAATTTAAGTATCATTTTGCATTACAAAATATTTATCTTACAACTACCATATAAATATCTCATAATTTTTTAGATATCTTTCTATATTTTTCATTTGCCTTATCTTTCTGATACAAATGAAAATATATGACAACTTATTATATTTTTTCGTTCATCTTTTACAAAGAATTGTTAGATCGATAGCTTATTCAAACCAAGAGATCTCACAATTCCTGTAAAGTTAATCTCATGCACGTTAACTCTCCTTTATTGACAGTGAACCAACCACCATCCTTTTACCTAATCATTCAAATTAACATCCTCTTCATTTAACTCCCACTAAGGCTTCATTTGGGTCGGCTTTCTTCTTGTTTCTTAAAGCAGCCTTCTTGTAAAATTATCAAATTTTTTGTGCTATAAAACCGCTTTAAGAAACAGTAAGAAAGCCGTTCCAAACGAAGCCTAAGACAGATTGAAGCTTCATTTGGGATTGCTTTCTTAGTGCTTTTTATTAAAGCCGCTTTTAAGTACAAAAAATTCTTCAATTAGAAATTTTTGTACTATAAAACTGCTTTAGAAAAGAATAAGAAAATTGTCTCAAACCAATCTTGTTGATTCGCTTTCAAACACCAAAAAAAAAAAAGCCTTGAGAAAGCTTGGTAGGTTGACTGGCATTCCAATCTTAAAGAAAAGAAAGCCTTCTTGCAAGCAAAACTATTCAATTCATTCTCTCTTCTCCTTGAAGTCCAACTCTAACCCTCAAATAAGCCCCAGTACCCCTCCTCTTCCTCATCATCAATTCCCCTCTCTCTACAATGAGGCTCAATGGCACTTATTTCACCCTCATCACAGCCATGATAGTTGCTTTACTCTCACTCAAAAGCCACCTATTTTGTCCAATGAATACTACATTGATGATCCCCTCTTCAATCTCATCAATCAAAGGTTTTTGCTCTCACCATCATCATAATAACGTACCAAAGGTAAATATTTGTGATGATTTTGCTCGAAATATCTTGCCGCCTGCGACGAATATATCTTCGACGCTTTGCGTTGATCGGAACGGGTGCTGTAACTTCACCTCAGTGCAGTCGGCTATCAATGTCGTTAATGATTCCAGCCAGATGAGAACCATCATTTGGATTAATAAGGGCGTATACTTGTAAGTTTAATTATAACTTTCCTATTTGCATGTGTGTGTAAGAGATTAAGCATAGCGCTTTAATTTGAGATATATTTTATATTTTCATGTGCATTAAGTAGGTAATATTGCAAATGGGTCTATTGTTAGAAAATGTGGGTCAAAAGGGATAAAAATTGGATGTAAATAATTCCTTATAAAACTTATTTTATATTTTAATTTATTAAGTAATCATTTTTTATCAGATTTCATAAATATGGCTCTGAGTAATTTTTAGAGACTTATAGAAATAATTCCTAGCACATAAAATTGGTTCAAATTTCTGAAGCAATAAAATACTATTTTTTATGCTAGGAAGCTGCTTTATAAAAGAATAAAAAAGTTATTCCAAACGAAGCTTAAATTAATACTCTCATATTAGTCATATGACTAAAGCTTCATTTGGGACAACATTCTTAATGTTTCTAAAGCAATTTTCTAATAAAAAATTTATTTAAAAAAGTTGCACTAAAAAAGGTGTTTTAAAAGCAATAAGAAATTAGTTGCCCAAAAGAAAGCCTAAGATTTTATTGAACAATTTTTTTTTTATAATTTTCGTGATAAGAAAATATTTAGTAAAAAATAATGTATAATCATAAAATAGCTTTTTACTGTTTTTTTTTTATTATAAAAGATGTTTAAAAAGTATATATTTTTTAAACTATAATTAAGAAACTATTTGAAATGGTTGCATGTCTTTATAAAAATGATTGTAAAATTGTAGAGAAAATACTTAGCTATTCTGATTTGAGAAAGCAATTCTGCAGTACAAAATTTTCTGAAAAGTAACAATCAAGCAGCAGCCAAATGAAATTATGGTTGTTATTTGAAAAATAAAGCGACGAGAACGCTGCCCCAAGCAGATCCCAATGCTTCATTTAGGAAATCTTTTAGCCGCTGTATTTTTATTGCTTTCAAGAAATTTTTGTGCTAAAAAGCTGAAGTAGAGAACATTAAGAAAAATGTCCCAAATGAAGCCTAGACAACTTTCCTGCTACCTTTGTTTTTCAGATCGCAACCATAATTTCTATTTAGATATTATTTTTTTGCTCCTTTCAAAATAAATTTATATTAAAAAGTTGTTTTTTACAACATCTTTAAAAAAAATACTTTCTCTATATGAAGAAGCTTCATAAAATAATAAGAAAATTGCTCAAAATGAAACATAAGAAAAAACTTTAAAAAGCAAAGATCGAGAAGCTGAAATTTCCCCAGTTAGAGCCTAATAAACATCATTGATGAAATTAGTTATTTGGCTAAAGAAAAAAGCTTTAAGCTCATTGACTATATCTATAAATGTATATAATTTTATTTTGTAAGATTAATATTATATATACATAACATGTTAGTGAGAAGGTAACAATCCCAAAAACAAAGGTGAATATAACACTGCAAGGGCAAGGCATGGAGTCCACGGCAATAGTGTGGAACGACACGGCCAATTCTTCCGGTGGCACCTTCTATAGCGCATCGCTATCGGTGTTTGGAGCCAATTTCATCGCAAAGAACATAAGCTTCATGGTAATTAAATATATAAAGATATAATTACATAATAGAATATCATTAAAAAGCTTTGGTGAATTTGATTAATGTTATATTATTATGATTATTTTGAAAGAATGTGGCTCCAATAGCAAAGCCCGGCGATAAGGGAGCTCAGGCGGTGGCGATACGGGTGGCCGGCGACCAGGCGGCCTTCTGGGGTTGTGGGTTCTTTGGAACTCAGGATACTCTACATGATGATAGTGGAAGGCATTACTTTAAGGAATGTTACATTCAGGGTTCCATTGATTTCATCTTTGGGGATGCGAGGTCGCTATATGAGGTAAGAGAAATGCTTTATAGTTATCAAGGCTTCGTTTAAGATAGCTTTTGTTTACTACTTTTTCATTGCCTTTAAAAAAATTTGGTACTTAAAAGTTACTTTAAAAAAGAGTAAGAAAACTTACCCAAATGAAACCTAGCTTTCTCATATTTTCATCATCCTTGTAAAACATTACAGCATGTTTCGTAATCTAGAAAACAGAAAAGACATAAAGGAGGAAAGGAAGCCAAAATATTCATTGTATATTACTGTGTGTCCTATATTACACGGAGGGCAGCTTATATAAAGCTATTACTTGTACCATGTAAATAGAAAGGAGTTTGTCCCTTTACACGTGTGTGGCTTTGATGAATTGGTTTGTTTTTTATTAATGATATAGATGATGTAAGCGGGTATACTATCACGTGTGCTGTTATTATCCCCTCTCAAACCGACGATGATTGTTGAACCGTGAGTTTGGCTCGCATAAACTGAAACTGTGTGTTACAAAGATGCTTTGTGAGGATGTCAGTGGGTTGCTCAGTGAAGGCAATATGCAGTAGACGAATGTGTTTTGCTTGGACATGCTCTCGGATGAAATGATAATCGATCTCTATGTGCTTGGTTCTTGCATGGAAGACTGGATTGTTGGCCAAGGCAATTGCAGACTGGTTGTCGCAGTAGAGAGTGGTAGGAGTGTTGGCTGAAATGTTAAAGTCCTGTAGGAGTCTTTGAAGCCATATGATATCGGTTGCCGCTGCTGCGAGTGCGCAGTATTCGGCTTCAGTTGAGGATCGGACGACTGTAGGCTACTTCTTTACTGTATATGAGATTAAAGTGGAACCAAGAAATGTGCAGTAGCCGGTAGTAGAGCGGCGGGTATAAATATCACTGGCCTAGTTGGAGTCGGTGTAAGAGCAAAGGAGAAGAGCTAGAGTCATTCGTGATTGATATACCGTAGTTGATGGTCCCCTTGAGGTATTGGAGCAGATGTTTAAGCCACTAAGAGTGAAGCAGAGACGGATCATGCACATGTTGACATAGTTAGTTAACAACGTGAGCTGTATCTGGGCGAGTAATGGAAAGATACAGGAGTGAACCCGTTAGGTGGAATTATAGGTTGGGAGGGAAGGGTTTGTTGGCTGACTAGGGGGAGGTTGAGGGGCTGGCGGATGTGGGGTTGATGGTGGGATTGCATGAAAGATAACATACCTTGTTGAGGAAAAAGGTGGTGTATTTTGCTTGAGATAGAAATAGGGAATTGGGTTGATGAGAGATATCAATGCCTAGGAAGGTGGATGGGCTGCCCAGGTGCTTCATAGAGAAGGTGGATTGAAGTGAGTGTATGATGTGTTTTAGATGAGAGGAGGATCTGGTAAGAAGTATGTCGTCAATGTAGATAAGGAGGTATGTGGGATGAAGAGAGGAGGATTGTATTAAGAGGGAGGGATCAGCTTGACTTGGATGAAAGAGCCGAGAGATATGAGATAGGTAGAGATGGTTTGGAACCATTGACGAGGGGCTTAGCGTATGCTGTTGATTTCCTTTTTGAGTAGGCACATGTGATGTGGATAGCAAGGATCCTCGAATCCTTTGGTTTGAGTCATGTAGACAATGTCGTCGAGGGGACCGTGAAGGAATGCATTCGACACGTCTAGTTGATGCAATGGCCATTGCATATGAGTGGCAATGGTGAGAAGGACGCGAATTTTGGGTATTTTGGCAACGGGGCTGAAGGTGTCGGTGAAGTTTAAGCCGAATTCTTGATGATTGTCGAGGGATACCAAATGAGCTTTATAGCAGGGAGGGAGGGGTTGTGGTTGGGGTTTGAGTCTAAATGTCTATTTATAGCCTAAGATAGGTGCATCAGGAGGTTTAGGAACCAGTGTCCAAGTTTTTTTACTTGAGACCTGTGAATTCATTTTGTATAGCATAGTTGCACTCGGGATGATGAATAGCAGCTTGTACAGAAGTAGGTTCAATGACTGGTGAAGCTTGGGTTAGGAAATTAAGCATTTGGCGTGGTTTGAGATTACTAGTTCTGGACCTGGTGATCATAAGATGTACCGGTAATATTGAAGAGGTGTCATCTGATGGGGAGTCTGTTGAGGTGGGTGGGGATAATGGTGAGATGTTGGAGATTGTTGGAGCAGGTATTGGAGGGGTGGGAGATGGAGAAGCAGATGATTGGGAGCTGGATGTAGGAGTGAGTGGAGTGGGAGGGGAGGACTGTCGTTGGTGTGAGCTTGATGTGGGAGTGAGTAAGAATGGATTATAGGGCAAACTAGAGTCGTTCGTTTGTGTTGGAGAGGATTGATAGGGAAAGATTGACTCATCGAAGCGAACGTGTAGTGAGATAAGTATCTTTCTCGTGGATTGGTCGAGGAAACGATAGCCTTTTTTATTATCTGAGTAACCGAGAAATATACAAAGCTTAGACCTGGGATGAAGCTTATTGCGATAAGGAGGTGGAAGCCAAGGAAAGAAGGCACACCCGAAGACGCAAAAATGGTTATAGGTGGGTGATTTATTGAAGAGGAGCTGATAGGGGCAGCATTGATGAGTGACTAGAGACATCATCATATTTATGAGGTAAATGACGGTGAGGGCTGCATGAAGCCATAATTGCTGGGGAAGGTTAGCATCAGTAAGTAGCGTGCGAGTTGTCTCCATTATGTGATGATTCTTGCATTCCGCAAGCTCGTTTTGTTCAGGGGTATAGGGACAGCTCGTTTGGTGGAGAATTTTATGTGTTTGAAAAAAAGAATGAAGAGAGTGATTTATGTACTTTTTACCGCCGTTGGAGCGAATGCATTTTATGGTGGTGGATGGCTAGTTTTGTATGAACTGTGCAAAGTTTATTAGAAGTGGGGTGACTTCAGATTTTGCATGCATAGGAAATAACCAGACATAATGTGAGTAATCATCAACAATTAGTAAGTAATAGCTAAATACTTGATTAGATAACGTGGGGGAAGGACCTCATGCATCAGAATGTAGTAAAGATAAAGGAGTACATTGAGAATTGCTGGAAGAAGGAAAAACAAGGTTGTGAATTTTGGAAGCCATGCACGAAAAGCAGGAAGATAATTGCATCGGAACTTGTAGTTCCATATACGTTCTGTAGATGATAGACGTGGTTCTGGAGTGTGGATGGCCGAGTCGTCGATGCCAGTGGAGAGATGGTGTGAGGGAAGTGTTAAGAGCTCAGTGATCGGAGGAGGAGAAAAGCGTTAGTGGGTAGAGACCGTTAGTGACTAGGCCCTGGTGGATGCAGTGGTTGGGCTGATTAATTGAATATTTTGTAGTTGGATGCGTCAAAATGAAGAGAAATATTGTTATCCTTAGTGAGCTTGTGAATGGAGATTAAGTTATGAGAGATATGTGGGGTATGAAGAATTTGTGATAGTATAAGCTTACCATTGAAAGTGGTAGAATACCTTGACCGGTATGGGTGATGGGTGTGCTCAAGTCATTACCAACCGTGACCTGGTCAGATCCGAAATAGTCTGATAGTTGTTGAATGTTCTCAAAATGTGCGGTGATATGAGATGTGGCTTCGGTGTCTAGTATCCACTCGTTGGGAAGAGAGGATGAGGCGACTAATACTGTTGATCCTGGGGATGGAGTTGGCGTGGATGCTGATTGAGGAATGTAGTTGGCATTCATGCGATGCTAACATTTGAATGCGGAGTGATGCGCTTGTTGCAAATTTGGCATATGAGGGGAGATGCATGTACTGGTTCGGAGATGGAGGTCGTGATGCGGTGTTTTGTGGAGAGCGACCACGTCCACGTGAGCTTCTTCCTCGGTAGCTATACAAGGCATATGCAAGGTTGATGTTTAGCTGGTTCTTGGTGGAATGAACCAGTAGATTAAAATCTTCACTCATGAGTAATGAGTAGAAGTCTCAAGACTTAACGGTATAGGGTAGGTTCTAATAGTAGTCTTGAAGGATTGGTATTGTGGCGGCGGCCCGGATTGAGGGTGTTAAGAATGACATCTTCCTGATCTACTGTAGATCCAACTGAGGAGATGTTGTCTACAGAAGTTTAATTTCGGTGAGATACTGGCTCATGGATGAAGTCTTCATGGGGACGATGTGCAACTCGTTTTTGAGTTGGATCATAAGTGATCTATTTGAAGCTTGAAGTCGGGTTTCTAATGTTGTCCAGATCTCGCTGCAGGTTCGAAGATTATGAGAAAAATGGATCATCAATATCAAAACTTTTGATCTGTTAGAGATTGATGTAATATATGTGCAATCAATTAAATTTCATATTAATTTTATTTTAATATAAATTAAAAAATTTAAAACTTATAAAGATAAAAAATTAATTAGTATATTTTGAACTAATTTATTTGATATATATATATATATTATGGAAACAATAAAGTTAAAAAATATCCTGCCATGTAGCTAGTTATTATCAACTTGCAAAATGTGAACAAAATATCTTTCATTTCAAGCCAAGGAGTTTTTTCTTGTTGTTCGATAAAAAATTGATCATGCTAAGCAGAGTAGATTTTTCACGCGTGGAAATTAAAGGATAGTTACTGTGGAAATGAAATCTTCGAACAAATTTTCTATTATAAAATCCTGATAAAAAAATGAGTCAAAGTTCATAAGCGTATCTTAAGTTGCATATAATATTTATTATTTAAGTATTATATTATTTTTGTTGCATGTTAAGAATGTTAGTATCTTTATTTTGTATGGAGATTCATCTCATACATAAATAAAAGAGAAGTTGTAATAGACATCATAATTTTTGCATGAAAATTTTAAAAAGGGGAAAAATTATGTAGGTAGGCATTGGTGTTACTTTCAAGAGTTTGTTTGAGGTTTTTACGGTAGTTCTATTTTGAGGAGAGGAGTCGAGAGACCAAGAAGTATACTGTTAACATTGGTATTGATGTTGGGAGTCACAGTTATTGTCGACTATGTGCATTGGCCTTATAGGAAATGGCATACATATGGTGTTAATGTTTGTGGCAACGACAAGCGATAATGTCTATGGGGATGGAGTTTGTGTCGACGGCATGCATTAGTTGTATATGTGATGGCGTGTGGTTTGATAGTGGTGGTCTAACAACGGTGCTTTTACTTTATCTTTATACATAAATAAAGTAGGTGATGTAAGAGACACCATAGCTTTTACCTAAAATACCCTAAAATAGAAAAATCATGAGGCCTTAACCAAGTTGAAATGATTTCATTAGCGTATGTTGTTGATTACAAATGATGCATAATCTCATAATTGGTGGATGTATTGGTATAATATAACAAAATAATATGTTGAGCATGAATTCAATGATGGAAGTTAAGAGCCTTATGGCATTTTTGATATGTTCAATAGTTCTCTTTTGAGGAAAGAAGACCAATAAATAAGTTTAATATAGGCTACAAAAGAATCGAGTTGAGTTGAGCAAGTGCTTATTCATATTTGAGCTCATTTATTATTAGCTAGTTCAAGCTCTATTTGAACTCGATTTGAGTTTTCAGTTATGCTCAAGTCTAGTTCGTTTAAAATGATAAATGTTTGTGTTTAATTTCTATTTGGTTCAGGTTCGATATTCATTTAATGATTATTTAGTTTTAAACAAACGAGTCTCACTACAGGAAAAATGTCGATTACCGGTGGTCATGACCGGCGGTTAAAGGACCGCCGGTATTACCGGCGGTGTAGCCGCCGGTTAGTACCGGCGACATAACCGGGGGTTTCGTAACGTAATAGCGACGGTCCTTTAACCGCCGGTTAAACCGCCGGATGTCAATCTTACCGGATGCATTCTCATCAACTTAATAAATAACCCATATTGAGCCTACTAACAGGCAATTATCTAGAGCTTATTTGCAAACTTAACTAGTAATGTGAGTATTTTTTGGATGCCAAAAGAGCTCATTCACGAACATATCTAGCGAGTATTTTTGAGCTATCAATTAAGCCCATTCATAAACAAATGAGCTAAGAGTTTTTTTCATTTTTTCTTATAAACAAGCTTGTTTATGAAGGCTTAAAAGAAATAATCCAACAAACATTAACAAATCTTGTTCATATTCAAATTCATTATATTGATGAGTATATATAACATAAAAAATAAAATTAAATTTTTTATAAAATAACAATAATTTTCTATATAATAAAAGTAAAAATTATGTGAAAATATATTATATAAAGATTTATAACAAGGCTAGGTCAATTCTTAATGATTCAACAGTTATGTATTAATTATTAATTGAGCTTCTTAATGAGCTTTATCTAGTTCATTCATGATTTTTAATTGATATTATTAATGAACATAAACGAGCTAAACAGATAGTTGTTCAAACTTATTTATTTAATTGTCGAGTATTTTAAAAAATTGTTTAAACTTGTTTGATTACTTAAACAAATGATCATGAACAACTTGTCATCGAGTCGACTAATGAGTAGTTGGCTGGTTGCCTGGTTAATTCATAGCCCTAATCTAATATAATTATTGGTGTTGACATCAGGAGACATAATTGATGTTGACAGTGTACATTAGCCTTATAGTTGATGGCATTTGTCGAGTGTCAATGTTGGTGATAACAACTAGCAACAACATTGGCGCGTGTCGACGTTAGTGCTAATAACATATGCATCAATCCTGTTGTAACGACGTGCATCAATATTGCTAGTGACAATATATGACATAGTTAGTGGGCATCCGCATTTATATTGATGACATACATTGACCTTATAAATGATAGCATGCATTGATGGTGTTAGCAATGGAAAGAGATGAAGTTGGTTTGTGTCGGTACTGATGATGTCAACAACTTTTATTGGTCTTATATGCAACGTGATACATCTATGTTAATGACGGCAACAGGTGACAAAGTCGGCAAATATATGAGTAGTAGGCAACACTATTTAGAAGATTGTCATTAGTAGATAGTGTTTGGGAGACTAGTTAGGTGATGGTAGTCTAGGACTGTAGTAAACATGGGTGGTAGATAGTAATTGAACGACAATGATCAAAGGGATATAGTCGAGTGATTGTGCTTGAAAAATCGTAGTTAGATGATGATGGTTGTGATAATATAGTTGTCGGGTGACATTGGTTAAGAGGTCATAGTCAAACGACAGTGGGTCGGATGGTGGATTATTATTAAGCGATAGTGGTCGAGAGGCGGCATTGATTGTTATGGCGATGGTTTGATGATGATAGTTAAATGATAATGGTCAAATAACAGCAGACCTACAATAAAAGTTAGGCAATAGTGATCAAATGTGATGGCATGGTGGCACTAGTTTAGCAATTGAGGTTGGGAAGTGTTGATCAGATGGCGACGATCCAACGGACTGGTCTGACAATGGTGTTCGAAGTCGGTGGTCAGACTATGGTGGTCCAACATCAATGGCCGAACGACAGTGGTTTAACAGTGGTGGTGATCATACGACTGTGTTTTGATAATGGTACTGATCAGATGATAATGATTCAATGGCGCCAGTGGTGGGATAACGATGGTCCAATGAAGGTGTTCGAATGGTGGTGGTTCGATGTTGTTGTTCGAACAATGATGATTTAGTGATGGTCATAAGGAAAAAGATGACCTGATGACGGTGGTTGAGCAAGTATACTTTAATGGCACTTGTTGGACTATCTCAATCAGAAGATGATGGTCGACAGAAGCAGCATGATAGTAAAACTTTCTCCAATTTTTAGTCGAGTACCAAGCTCTATCCCACATTCATATAAAGAATAAGAGCTTCTTTACCATTTTTGAAAGCAAAATTCACATTAAATATAGTAAAAAAACACTGAATCAGAAGTCTCGTGCTTATTATATTGATCATAGATCACTTAGACATAGGGTTTAGGGTTTAGGGTTTAGGGTTTAGGGTTTGGGTACTTCAATGATAACAGGAAAAAAAATCTTGTGTTTGTTTAATTTGATTTATATTGTCGAGACATTCAATTTAATTATAAATATGGATAATTTAGGGGCTATTTAATGCTTTAATTCATGTCAAGAAGTTCAAATACATGATCTATGCTCATTCGAATTCAAATCAAATCACCTTGGATTTCACTAAATCCATCTCATCAATATATTCAGCTCAAATATAAATTTACTGAAATTGAAGTTCAAATGATCTTAGATGTATTTTTAGAAATTTTGTATTTGAATATTAGATCTAGTTTTGTGCATGATTAATTGAATTTTCTGACAATATTAATTAAAAAATAAAATAATATTTTTTGAGATATACATTACGATGCAAATTTTAATGATAACATTCCCTTGTTTTTCTTCCAAAAACTTCGGCTCAGAATATCACGTGGTAATTTCCTAAGAAAAATACCTACAAACTCGATTCGAGCTACACCCAATATATCCCATCATACTATAAAATAGGGGTGTCAATTTTGGTTCACGGGTCGAACCCGGAACTGACCCGATATTGTTCGGGTCAACCATAACCCGATCCGTTTTTAGCCCTCACGCAAGCCTGGACACGGTCACGCGGACGGACCTCGGGTTCAGCCGCTCAATTCCTCACCTCCTCAGGATATGCAGGCACACGAGTGAGTGCTGAGTGGGGCAACCGGGCAGGGCCAGGATTTGCCAAGGGTTGACGGGTAGCGGTGGGCAAGCGAGGCAGGGGCGTGATTGGGTTCGGGCAGCGGTGACTTACGCGGCAGCTCGGCGAGTACCTCAGCGGGCAAGCTAGGGTCACGCGGCCACGAGGGATTGGCCGCGGGCAGAGGTGATCACCTGGGCAGCTCGGTCAGCGGGTCAATACGCGTCATTTTCGAGTTTTCGGGTCAAGCCGAACCTGACCCGATTTCTAAAACGGGTCGAAAACTCTAACCCGAACCCAAAATTTCCGTGTCATGTTCGGGTCAGATTTTTAGGTCGTGTCCAATATTGACACCCCTACTATAAAATAACATTTATATACAAAAAATTAAAATAACTGTCACATAAATATACGTTTCCTGGGCAAGAAGTCTTGAGAAGCATTATTCAAATTTGTATCATGAATATGAACAAAAAATTCTAGAAATTTCCATTGATCACAAAACTTTATAACTATTCTGTCTCAAAAATCAGATTTTATTTTATTTTATTTTACTTTTATTTTTAATGTTTGGCTAATAAGATTTGGAGACAAACACTCTTCTCAATTTGAGCATTGAATCACTGCAAGGAAGTCATACGTGCATTTTATGTGACTAATTATAACCCAAATAAAAATTGTTTAATCCAGAACTGCCAGTTGATTTCCATGGCCTCGCCGGTACCGGCGGGATTGAAGCTGATCAATGGCGCCGTGACCGCTCATGGACGTGTTTCGCAGGATGAGAACACCGGCTTCTCCTTCGTCAACTGTAACATCGGTGGCACCGGCCGGATTTTGCTCGGCCGCGCATGGCGTCCCTTCTCACGTGTCATCTTTGCTTTCACCTCCATGACTGATATTATCTCTCCTGAAGGATGGAATGACTTCAACGATCCCTTAAGAGATCAGTAAGATCATATCATAATTTAATTTGTTCATTTAGACTATTTGTTCTTAATTTCTAACTTTGTAAATTATACTGAAATAGGACTGTCTATTATGGAGAATACAAATGCAGTGGTGCAGGTGCTAACCAGACCTTGCGAGCTCCTTACGCTTTGAAGCTGAATGATACACAAGCTGCTTCTTTTCTGAATTCTTCTTACGTTGATGGAGATCAGTGGCTACAGCCTTACAGTTAATTGATCTTTGAAGCATCTTAATTACTGTTGATGCATTTGGAATAACTAAACGTATTATATCAAGCGCGCACTGAGCTTTATGTGCTGCTAGTAATTACTTTTTCTGATTAAAAGCTTGGATCAATCTGAGCATCCTCGCAAAATCTTAACTTTGCTTATGATTAATTTTCTGTCTAACTCGCCCCTTAATTGTTTTCTTCTTAATTTTCCTTAGCTTTCATAATCTGAAGATTCTAATTAGAAAATCATTTGTAAATATCCCTCCTGTGATTAACCAAACGTGTACTTATTAACTCCTCTCATTCAACAACCGACCTTATCTAATTTCAGTTCAACTAATTATCCCTTCACTTTACACCCACAGATAGATAGGATAGTCGATAGGATGAATTATTCCGTCCAAAGCCTAATAAAAATGAATCACATCACCTCCTAGTCTGTACTGCGGCTCAATGCTGCTCGATACCGATCTCGATACTTCTCAGTATTGGATGACGTGGCTGCACCTGATTCGTCTTTGGATGATAAACTGTGTCCGGCATCCGAACAAATCTCTCTCGAGAGAAATAATGAGAGAGAGAGAGGAGAAGAGTTAAAGCACTGGAAAAAGTAGGTGGAATAAAGCTAGAACAGCGACTGCGCAGAAAGCGGACAAGGTAAATTTCCAGCACGTTCTTGACTTCCTACCACCCACCCTCGTCTTCCCTTCCTGGTTTCTACCCATCAACAAGCACGTTTTATGAAATATCAAAACCAGCAGCTCATTCTATGTTCATACCATAATCCTTATAATCATAAAAAATTAACGAAATCTGAACCCAAATTCATGCATTTATAGCACACCATGATGTAAAATCCACAAAAAAGATATCCAAAAATATAAAAGTAGAAATATATCATAGTATATAACATCGATCTGAAGTTATAAATATAGCTAAATATTACGTGTGCGCGCTCTCAGTTGTCCTCCTCATAAGAAGTAGCCGCCACCCCTGTTGTTTTCTGATGGCTGCCGTGGGTGGTTCACCTGCCCGCCTATCCCATCAAGAAAAAACTCCTCCGGCAACCCTAATCCAACTTCCCTCGAGCTTTCCAGCACTTGATGGCGATCATCCTCAATGTTTTCGCCGATTCCGAAACCGATGATCTCTTGCTGCTGCGGCGGCTGTCGGTATTGATACGGATATTGATACTGGTTTTGTTGAATACCGTAACTCGGTAGAATTGTCGGCGACTGGCTCGCCGGATTGTTGAAACCGATCCCGAAATTGAGCGTTGTGGCACCAGCGGGCATATAGGAAGTCGTGTACGGCACCGATGGCACGCCGGTGAACTGTTGCACCATGGCCCGAAAGTTCGTGGTGTCGGTGTTGAGAAGGGTTGTCGGAGCTCTCCTCGAAGTCCTAGACCGCTTTCGGGCGGGCTTACCCCGCGAGCCACTGGCTGCTGCTGCTGCTACGTCGACTGAGATGGGCATTGTGAGCTCCGTCGTCGAGTCTTCTATCACCGACGCGGTAGCGTGGGATTGGCGAGGTCGGTCGCGGTGGCCAGAAGCAGCCATGTCTTGATAGAATTGCGACCAGTCGACGGGATCGGCGTCGCCATCGTTCATGGTAATGAAGGTAGGTGGTTGATCAGGGAAGAAGCTTCAGAGGTTCGAAATGCGAGATAAATGAAATTAGGGAGAGTTGGCTTATAGGCTATGTTTGTATGTATATAAAGACAAATAAGACTGTGATGGTTTTGGTCAATGAGATAATTAAGCTGCGTGTCATCGCCGATGCGTGGTTTGACGGCTGAGAGAACCTCCACCTGTCGTCAACCGGCGAATGCAGGGATGACAGTTTTCCTATTAAGCCAAGTGTTCTAGAACATTTCTCATTGATCAATTTACTAATTATTTGTAATATAGTTATTTTTTACTAATACTCAAATTTTGATCATATTTAATTTTAGAATTATTCATTTATATTAAGATAATTATAATACATTAAGAATTAATTAAAATTGATATTACATATATTTTAGAATAAATCTAAAGATATTAATTAAGACTTCCTCTATTAAAATATGATGAGGATGCCTTAACTGATGTAGTGAATCGTCGAAAGACTCGACCTGCAATAAGGATTTCGGTTTTCCCAATCCAGGGAAGAAGAAGAAGAAAGCTCTAAGGCTTCAAAGACTAATATTTCATTCAATGACCTTCATCCTTTACAATAGCTAGCCAACTATTTAAAGAGGAAAATAGAACTATCTAGACTAAGGAAGGTAAATTAGTCCCTAAGCATAATATAAGCTAAGATGTTCATACATCATTAACCTAAATTTTTTTTTTTCTTGAAAATCACCCATCTTGCATAGTTATGATCTCTCATGCTTTCAAAATAGATTTAAGGGATGTTTGATTGCAAATATATGGCCATTTTAAATATAGGGTAAGTTAAATACAATGAATTTTGAGTTTTAAAGTTATTTGATTAGCCCTAAAATAAATTAACAATTCAATTCTAAAATGAAATATATTGCTCTAGGGAAAAGATAGTAGCTTAACAACATGATAACAACTTGGATGGCGGGGATGGTGGTGGCTTGATGGCGGAGTCTAGAATGGGGTCATACAAGGATGACTAGATCATGAATAATGAGGTTGGTGTTGGATTATGGACTATGCGCGTTCATTCATGTAGGGTCGGTTGCAAGGTTGGAGGTGATGAGATTGAGCAAGATATATATGACGTGCGAAAATTACGAAACACAATAAGCGAATTCTAAATCCTTAAAAAATACACATTAAATATCCAATATATTGTAATTCAAATCATAAGCCATTAAATAAATTCACTCACTTTTGGCCATATTTATAAAATTTGTTTTAAAAAGCAATAAGAAAACCACCCAAATTAAGGTTTCGTTTGAGACAACTTTTTTAATGCTTTTTAAATTAGTTTTTTTTTTTTGTATAAAAATTTCTACAAAAATTTCTTAAACTAAAATTTATGTACTAAAAAACTGCTTTAGAAAGCATTAAGAAAGTCGTCCCAAACGAAATCTAAGCATTCATTTGGAACAACTTTTTTAATGCTTTCTAAAACAGTGTTTTAGTTAAAAAATTTCTTGAATTAGAATTTTTGCACTAAAAAATTATTTTAGAAAGCAATGAGAAAGCTATCCCAAACGAAGCGTAGGATGGCTTTCTTACTAGTTCTTAAATCAGTTTTCTACTGCAAAAATTTCAATTTTTGTACTAGAAAAATGAATTAAGGCGCAGTAAAAAAGTCGTTCCAAGTGAATTTTAATTCTTTGGGGGAGCTAAAAATAAAAAAACTCTTTGGGGGAGCTTTCTTATTATTTTCTTTTTATTACAAAAAATTTAATGAATTAAATTTTTTTTACTAAAATTCGGCTTTAAAATCAATAAAAAAAATTATCCAAAATAAAAGCTTAGTTTAAATCCATAATAGAATAAAATAAACAGGTGCTCAAATTTCTAACGTCCACACGCAAAAGTCCGTCGGTGCGGATCTAAGTTCCGTCATTAAGTATCCTAATAATCTTATTGTACAGGCGCCCTCATGAGCACAAGATCTTATTAATCAGGAGGGTTAAGCTATACAAAATTTTTTAGGTTTTGATTAATATTTTATTCAGTTTTCTCATTAATGATCAGAATATATATATCGCTTATATTAAACAATACTAAATAAAAATATTAACTTCTTGCATTAAAATTTATGGACATCGTTCAAATAAAAATAACATATAATTTATGTTAAGATATATTTAATGATTTTTAGATTTATACTTAAATTAATATAATTTTTTATAGAAATATTATTTTAGTATATATTTAAAGACTCTTAAATATATTCTAATATAAATTATATTAGAATATTATTATGCAATTATTTTCTACATAAAAGAAAAGGCCGTGCAATTAAAAGTAGAGGGGAAAATACAGAGGAAGAATGGAAGTTGGCTTCCACTGTTCCACATGTTGAAGATTTAATTCTTTCACTATTAAGAGTTCATCCAAGAAATTTTTTTTTTATAATTATATTTTTTATAGTTATAATTTTTTAGCTTCTTAAAAAATTTTCAACTATAAATATTCTTAATAATTGCATATTAATTTTGACATAAAGTATAGGAATTTTTTTTTAAGATAATGATGAGATCCATAATGTTATTCATTAAAAGAGAAGCATTAGAGTTAAGTTAAGTGTAGCAAATATGAGGATGCTTAAGTGGATGATTAACTTTATATTTAGAGACAGAATATTAAACAAATATATACGTAAAAAGATTGAAAGAATATTGGAGTACCTATAATAGCATATAAGATTAGAGAGAGTCGGCTTAGATGATTTGGTCACATAAAATATCGCCTTCAGATGATTCTGGTAGGAGAGTAGATGTATTAGATCTTATCCATATTAAGAAATATAGAGGTAGATCTAAAAAGATTTGCTTATAAACTATTAAAAATGATATTTTTTTACTGAATTTAAATGAAAAATTAATTCTTAATAGGACACAATGGAGAAAAATGATTCATATATTTGACCACACATAGTGTGATAAAGTCTTGTTATTGTTGTTTTTGTAAAAAAAGTGTCAAAAATTAATCATAAAAGATAGAGATGGTCGTATTAATGTTACCACAAATTTTTTTAGGTTAAAGTTTCGTTTGTGGCAACTTTTTTAATGATTTTTTAAAAAATCTTTTAATTAATATAAAAATTTCTGACTCATAAAAAAAATTTATTAAAAATTAATAAAAAAGATGTCGTAAATAAATCCTAAAACTCTATGTAACTATTTATAAAAAATCTCATACCATGTTAGAGTCAAGAGCTATCTGCAACCACTCCTTAGTTTCAGCATTATTTAAACATATATTTGATTTGACAGAATGGATGGGAGGAATGCAAATTCATTCATTTTATTTTATGATTTTCTATTAGTTTTTTTTTTTTAATTATAATACAATAATACAATTAGATTTTTCTTAAAAATATATGGAAATACATTTTCGTATTCATAATTCTCTTTTCAAATCTAATGGCAAATGAGAAAAAAGGTTTTATTAGTTTAATACGTAATTATAAATATTTTTCACTCAATTTTTCATCACAAAGAAAAAGGGTCAAAAGTAAATTCAATTTAATTCATTTATCATTTTTTTTAATATTATTTTTTTCATCTCCTCTCTTTAGATTCCTAGAAATCAAATAGGCCATAATAAATTTTCTCATTAATTTTTACATCCAAATATCTTAAAAGCCGATTCAAGCTTTGTCGATCCAGTTCAAGGCAACTCGACCAAGCTAAGTCGGCAACTTTCTCCAATCGAATTGATAACTTAAGGTTCATTTGGGACTACTTTTTTACTGCTTCTTAAATCAACTATTAGTACAAAAATAAAAAAAATTATACTGAAAGCTTAATACGAACCAAAAAATTATTCACAAAGTTAATAAATAGACCATATTTCATATTATTTTAGACATTTTAAACATCAAAATTAAATATAATTTCATTACTCTAATGGTCAAATAAATTCAAGTTAATTAAAAGGATTATTAGATGCTTCATAGTTTTGAGACAAAATATGTTTAATAATTTTTATTTTTTGAAGCATGGTGGAAAAAGAAAATTCTCTTTCTTGCCGATCGAAGAGTCCGGTCAAAGCTATCAGCACACTACAGACAAAACTTCGGTAGCGACTTAATTATCACGTGCTCGCCAAATTTACTACCATGGAACTACAGAATTATTTGGTGTATTTGGGATAATTTTTCTACTAGTTTTTTAAAGTAAAATTTTTACATAAAATTTTATAATTTACAAAAGTTTTTTTATTAAATATATAATTTAAAAAGCAATAAAAAACCGTCATTAACAAAACTAGACTATTTTATTTTTTTCCTTAATTATATTAGAAAATATTAGAAACTTGCATTTTATATGAGATAACGTTCGAATTGCTTTACAAAAAGTTTTTAGTACAAAAATTTAACTGTTTGACACTAAAATATTACTTTATAAATCAATAAAAAAGCTGTCCCAAACAGAGGCTTCGTTTGTGACAACTTTCTTATTACTTTTTGAAGTAGATTTCTAATATCAAAATTTCAAAAAAATTTGAATTAAAAAATTAATTTATAAAATAGTAAAAAATTTGTCTCAAACAAAACCTTCGTAATAGAAAATAACATAATTCTATGAATACAGTTTTTAAGAAGAAAAATGATTAGATAATCATCATTAATGAATTGATTATAATTAAATTTATTATACTATTGAGTATTGATACTTACTAAAAAATTAATAATGCAAAAATTATTAAAGTTTTCTGATTCATGTTAGCCAATTGAAGAATAGGGTTATATTTAATAATCAGATTCCTTGAAATTTACATTCATCTAAAAAAATAAATAGATAAGTATTAATTATTTTAATTAATTAAAGTTTAATTAATAATTTTACCTGATGTATCATCAAAAAATTATCTTGATTGTACACGAATCTCGAGGCAAAATCAAGCCAGAAACTTCAAAAATTAAATTCGGGATCATCTGAACTCTGATTTCAGCGAACTTATATTTAAATTGAGCGTCTCGAAAATACGAACTCAACGACACCAAATTCGTCTCAATCCGAGCCCAAATGAGTCCAAATCAAGCACCTGA